TTTCAAAGTGCCAACATCGAATGTTCTCTTGCAGATACAAGTGACAAGTCTATGTATGTGCATTTCAATGAGCGGTACTGTAGCGTTGTGTTGTTTCTTTGCGCCTAAGGTCTACATTGTTCTGTGGCAACCGTACAAAAATGTTCGTACACGACAGTCTGCAGTCGGTAGACTGGTGAATCAGCAAATGCGATTTATAAGGTTTCTAAGCAATCATTTAACTCAAATGTATCAAATTCACTTAATGTCTCAAAAATTGCGCATCGATCAACGGCTCTTCATTTTGTGGTGTTTGTTTTCGTCACTTTCGAGTGACACTTAATTGTTAGCATGTCTCATGTGCTGTGCTTTGCCAATCCATTTGATCGAAGTGAAACGAAAAAGTTTCGTCGATAATATGATAACAATGAAACATCACCGCCATAGAAATAACATCAATAGATGCACACTTGAAATTATGACCAACACTGTCAACTTGATGAATAAATTTCAGTCAAATAGCCACCTCAGCAGCGCCCGAATGCACTCCGATTTGTACCTCAATTGGCGAGTACTCCTCTAACCCGCACGTCGCCACACCTTCTGTTGATTGTAAGCAATTAATATTCGTCAATGTTCTCTTATCCAATATTGTCTCGAACTTATAATAAAAGAAGTAGCGTTGATCTTTAATGTTTGTTGTGATTGCGCATGCCAAAACTAACTGATGCATTACAACTAACCGCAAGACCATCGAACATGTTGTGTACTCAAGGTCCCAGAGAGTTGACAAGCCTCTGCTACGAACTGATCCGTATCGTTGGCTTTGCATGAAAGAAAACAGCGAAAAATGATGATGATGATNAGCAGAGAGCATTTGTATAGTACCGTAATGAGTTGTGATCGCTGTTCAAACAGCTGATCAGACGGACTTTTTTTTTGAGGTTTTATGTAACTTGAGTAGAGATTTTACAGCCGAGGGACCTTCGTTGGCATCGAAGCCAGCCGCGACACCGAACCCAGCAACTACTCCAACTGCTCCAACAGCCAGCACCACCAACAATACCACCACCACACGTCAAACGCCAGTCATCACACAACCGTTGCTCGAGTTGTCTAGTGATGAGGATGCGACCACTACCGTAACCGAAACAACGCCATTCATCGAATCAAACAACTCGTCATCACCTCCTCTCATACCCTATTCTTTCAGTGATGTTGTCAAGGATACTGTCACTCAACAACACCAAGTCGAAATGATTCTCGATCAAATTGCATCGAATAACAACGTCACCTTCTTGTGAAAACAGCAACTGACATAAGGAAATTCATTTGTTATGTCACCTTGGCACATTGCTTGCAAGCAAAGGTGATCGTAGAGCAGATGGATGTGTGTCACACATAAAACTGCTGTTTCTGAGAAAGTATGCGATTATTTCCTCAGGCTTGCGCTGATCAACACAACTAATTGATGTGTGTTTTGGTGTTGATCAGTGCAGTAATTCGGTACTTCATTGATAAGTTTGTCGATTGGATGTATCGCTGATTTAGAATATGTGATTATTTTGCACGAATTGACTTTTTTTTTTCAATTTCTGATGATGTGTGTTATCAATCATGATATTATTATTAGTATTATTAAATTTTTGACCATTCGAGATGAATGAAACAAATCGATTAATCCAGTGAAAGCTCGCTTCATTGAACTCAACTTCATGCATCGAAAAAGTTACCGATACTG